GTGTTCCACTCCATTCCATCTGATCCTAAGATAAGAAGGCAGCATGGGGTTAGGAAGGGCACTAAGCTAGAAGTCAAGATGGAGCTTTGAGAGCAGAGTGCCCCATCCTCACTGTGTGGCAGGAGGGCTGGTTCATGCTTCCATTTGTTCATTGCTATAATGGGAATGCTGAACGGGGAGCTCTCTGCTATCATTTTTGGCCCTCATTTCTAAATCCCAAACAAAAGAGAAACTTTTTAGGTTTAAAGTCCCCAAGGACTGGGAAATTTATCCTTTTTTTGCTCTATTTTCAAAGATACATACAAATTTCATACATATCTTTACAATCCAAATGTATTCATCAAGACATTTAAACATTTATATTCTTTTCAAGTTCCTATTTACTTCCCAGATGGAATATCCATTCATCACTATCAACATTTCTTTCTTTTACAGATCCTTTCTCTATCATTATTTCTTCCTTTTTTTTTTAAAGATTCTATTTATTTATTCATGAGAGACACACAGAGAGAGGCAGAGACACAGGCAGAGGGAGAAGCAGGTTCCCGATGGGGAACCCGATGTGGGACTCATCTTAGGACCCTGGGATCACACCCTGAGCTGAAGGCAGATGCTCAACCACTGAGCCATCCAGGTGTTTCTCTCTCATTCTTTCTAGTGTGGTACAGTCCTCACCATGATATGCACAGAATCATTCACACAGACCATATCCATTTTGTCCAGATCACTCAGTAGGGCCACACCACTCAACTCCATGGAGCCTCATTCCCATAAATGGCAATGGGCACGGTGCCCTTTGGAGTTGTGCAATGCCTGGCTCACTTTTTGCCTGACCTCCAGGATTTAGCACTTAGAGGAGTGGGCCAGCTGCACTCTTTTATAGAGAGAAAATTATCCTGCCACCACCATGAACAGTTCATGAAGTCGGAGTGGATAGTGGGTGGGGATAGGGGACTGGAAGACGTGAGGGAGCTGTGTCCAGCACACATCAAGCTCAGAGCATTCTCCATTCTGGCTTGAAAGTCTTCTTTCACATTCTTTCTGCTTCCCCACGTACCAGATGGAAAACTGAGCTCTGGTATTTCAGTGGTGGGTCAACTGATTGTAGAAGGCCCAATTCTGAGGTTAGACACAGCCCTACATTTACGGATCAAATCCATAGATTTACTGCAATCCTGGAAGGGATGCCATTCCATCTCAATCTATATTCTTACTTTAAGTATTATATTACACAGCAAGGCTTAGGATGGAGGGAAGTAATTTCTTATTGTCTTTCCTCTCTCCCAATTGAGGGCCTCAAAATGGGACTGTAAAATTAATAACAGAGGTTACCACTTAAAAAAAATTATATAGACTTCACAGCCAGCATGAAGCTCAGTGAGGGGCTTGAACTCTGAGATCATGACCTGAGCTGAGATCAAGAGCCAGACACTTAAACAACTGAGCCACCCAAGTGCCCCAACGGTTATCATTTTTTAACCTCCTATTATTCACCAGGCTATTTAAATCTACATGCCTTGCTCATAAGATGAGTATTCAGTAGGCACAGTTAGCACCATTCCGCAGATGAATAAACAGAGGCGCAGAGATGAACCGGCTTGGCTTCAGTCTACCAGCCACAGGGAGCAGAGGCAGGCACCCTAACCCAGGCTGCCGCCGGAGCTATAGTCCCAGCCGCTATGATACACCACATGCTGGAGAGGAACTATAAACACATCACATATTTGTCCTTCCTCTGCAACTTTCCTGATATGACATCTCTGCCCTGAAATGAAAGCTGGGTCAGAACATACCGTCTGAGCACAGGGGGTTGAATACAGGGTGAGAGCCAGCAAGGATAGTTTTGCAATCATGTAGCATGTGGGGCTGGGCTGCCGCCATCTATGAGCTACAAGCCAGGAGGCTCAGGCCATGCTGGGAACACAGCACCCACCTTCCTGCCCAGCCCCTCTGTGGGAAAGCAGGGGTGGGGGCATGGGAGATCTCTGGACTCAAGAGATCTCCTTTCTCTCTGACAGAAGGAACAGAGAGACATCTATAACTCCTAAGTAAGGTGTCTACTTTTCCAGGTGCCTGGCACACACACAAGGTGGGAATAAATAATATTTATTGAGTACTTGCCATGGATCAAGTCCATTAGCTCGTTCAAATCCTCATAGTTTATTTTACTTATTTTATCAAGCTTCAGAAAAGTCATAAACAGCTTGTCTAGTGTCTCACAGAAAAGAGGGAAAGGAAGTGTATAAATCTAGAGCTCTACTGGGGCCATTCTAATCTACTGCTTCTTAGAACATGTATCATTAAGTCCAAGATCCTAGACAAGGTTTTTAGCCCACGTAGCTTCTTTCCCTCATACTTACCCCAATAAAAAGTCCCCAGATTTCCTTGTTGCTCTTTCTTCTCTGCCAGTGTCCTGCCCATCACCCCCTGGTCTAGTTACATGCAAGGTCTGCTCCAGCCCTGTCCAAAGGGCCCAGTGGGTCTCTTGTAATTGCATCCCATCTTCATCGAGAGTGCTTCATTTGGTAAAAACAAGCTCTGCTTATTTGGGGATTTCATGTTTGGGGAGGAAACTTTTTACATCCTATATCTCCCTCACCATCACCCCAAACCCTGATGCCTAGAGAAGTCATAATGTAGAGTTTGTATAAAAAAAAAAAAGGTAATTTAGATGGAGGGTCTTCTGTTCCAAGAGCAAGGCAAGGACTTGACTCTAGGCTCTCTTCTGAGTCTGCCACTGGCTGCTAAGCCCCTCTAGTTCCTCATTTTCTCACTTTCTTCTTCTCATTTTCACTCCCTGCTTTAATTGAGAAGAAAGGGCCTCCCAAGGGATATGAGAAAGAGGAAAGAGATGATGTCCAAATAGATACATTTCTGGAGGGGGGAAAGATGCTTCTCATAAAGTCAAACAAAATATTTCATGTAGAGCATTTAGCTAGTGCTTGGCACAAAAAGGTGTTCAACAGCTGTATGAGGCATTGGGCAGATGGAGTGTGCCGGGACCAGGGACACCTGTGGTGTCTCATGGGGTTGGTGCTGTCAGGGTGTGGCCATCAGGAGAGTACTTTCCTGAGTTTGCCTGCAGGGTACAGTTGGTGGTATGCCATAGCTCTCAGGAAAGTGACCTAACTTGGATTTTTCTATATGGACACAGAATTGCAAGAAATTCTCATTTGCATGGAGATGGGGAGTTTATTCTTCCTAGAAGCTACATGTCAAAACCCAGAAGAAAGAGGCATTTCTTAATCATGATTAATCAGCTGTATCTTAAAGAAGCAAGAAAAGAGAACAATTAAGGAAATGAGATGCTAAGGAAACAAGGAGAAAAATAATCTCCCAAAGGTGGACCCACCCAGTAAACCTTGACAGCATTTCCTCTTATCCACCTGCATAAAAGTGACCGGCCCTTTCCAAGTGGCAAGGAGCACAGAGAGAGAAGACACAGGAGCAGCCTGGAAGTACCGAGTAAGAGGTAAGACTCCTGCAGGGCCTTTGCTGGAGGCTTTCGGGCACGTTGTCCTGGCCCTGGTCTCTCACTGCTGCAGAGAGGTGACCTGTCATCATTGTGTATGGCCTAGGTATTTTGCAGGACAGGGAAGGGTACTCCCTATTGAGGATGAACCTTCTAGGACTTTGTTCTCAATAAGAAAAGATGGAGAGTGGGGGGAAAAGGAGGGCAGAAAGGAAGGGAAGAGGAAAGATCTTTTTGTTCTAGGAGCTGTGCTGGACACTTGATATCTTTTTTTTTTTTTTTTTTAGGCTTTGCAGTATTAAATAGCACTTTTTTTAAAAAAGGATTTTATTTATTTATTTGAGACAGAGACAGAGACAGAGAGAGCACAAGCAGGGGGAGGGGCAGAAGGAGAGGGAGAAGCAGACTCCCCGCTGAGCAGAGAGCCCGACCCCAGGACCCTGAGCTGAAAGGCAGATACTTCACCACTGAGCCATCCAGGCGCCCCTATATAGCTCTTTATTTATTTATTTATTTATTTATTTATTTATTTATTTATTTATTTAGTGTAAATAGCTCTTTAAATGTAAGGAGCACCACTCGCTCAGTGGGACCTGATCAGAAAGGTGCTGCTGTCTGTGTGGCGTGAGGAGATCTGCTGGGATATCCAGTTGAGTGCCCGAGGGAATGCCACACACACCCAGCACACCCATGATGGAAGTGAGGGCTCTGGGTGGGCACCGCGGACCACGCTGGACAGAAGGCTGGTCTCCTCACACGCGCTGTCTTAAGACTCCTCTTTAAGGCTAAGGCCCGGGCTAGTGCTGGGGAGAGTCAGGGGAAGAGACCCAACAAGCTGTACAACCATATCATGTGTACTTTCCCCAACGTGTCTATATGACACCAGAGAGTGGGTAAATGGAAGAGGCAGAGAGGACAGGGGAGGGGGGGGGTGATGGGATCAGAAGAGTCTGGTCCTGTCTAGGACTAGTGAGCTGCAAACATGTTCCCGATGGCCTCTTGCTCAGTGGGTGACAGAGAGGAAGCCACCAACTTGCCCCTCTCTCTTTGCCTGGGGGTGACCTGCGCCTCCCTCGCCTATTTCTCCAGAAGGTAACATCTTCAGAGTTGGCTTCAGACAAACGATTTTAAGCAGATACACATCGGGGCTTTATAATAAAAGAGTGTCTCCTATTTCAGGAGCAAACATAAAAAACCAAATGTGCTTTTAGGGTTTTTCAGATCTGTTGCCTAATTCCTAGGGCGTATTACCAACACTGTTTTTCCTATTTAATTTATTAAAAACAATGCTTTTTCACCACTGTTGACAAAATGAGCCGTGTTGAGTCATAATGGAGTGATATCCACACAAATAGACTCCCTGGGACTTGAGAGAGCACTGTATTGTGCTTTCTGGGGCGAAGGTGGGGGCACCGGGGGGAGGGAGAGGTCTCATTCAATTGATTCAAGAAAACCAGAGGAGGAGACACATGACCATGAACTCCACAAGGCTCAGTCTTGTTTTATTGGTGGCTGTCTGGCTTGCCTTGCGCGGTCCAAAGGGGATCTTGGTCTGGGGTCTCCGCTGCTTTCCCCTCTAAGCCAGGCAGCTGACTCCCACCCCTTCCTGCAGGACATGAAGGCACAGCGAGTTTCCCTCTGGCTCGTGGCTGCTATGGTCTTTCTGTGGTCAGTGCGTGCCCGAGGTCTGAGGAGGTGTCTGATTTCCATGGACATCCACCCAGTAGAAGAGACTTTCCAAGAAATCAAAAAAACCATCGTGAGTATGGGTTGAGGGTGATGGTTTGGGCAAGGGGACGTGTCTCACCTTCTGTCTTAACTTGAAGAGCAAGCTCCTCTTCATCATCCTCTGTGTCTTCAGGGGGGACATGGAGTACTCATTGCCTGTGTCTTTCTGTCCTTGTGTTTCCCTCCATAGCAAGCTAAGGACACCTTCCAAAATGTCACCATCCTGTCCACATCGGAGACCCTGCATAGCATTAAGGTATCGGCCCGCATCTGCTCTTTTTGTGTTATTATTTTTATGGTGAAGCGGCCCTGGTCCGAGAAAGAAATCCCCACCCTGTCTTCTTCTTCCTCCCCATCTCCCGCGTGCTCTCTGAATATTCCTGGTTTCTCATTTGCCAGCTGATGTGCGAGGGCACACTGATGTCTCAGGGACTTGGAGACCCCTAGGAGGAATCGAAGAAGCACCACCTACCTAGAGAGGGACTGGGGGTGCCACACCCTCAAACCGAGGCAGGTTCTCTGTGGCTTAGGGCGATTCTGGAAGGTTTTCACGGGGGAGCTGAGAAAATGAGCAGTGACTTAAAAGCTGAGTTGGCTGTGGGTCAGTGGTTCAAGGAGGAAGGAGATTGGAGATCAGGGAAATTACATGTGAGACCAATGACGGTGTGTCAGGAGGCAGCGAGGCAGCCAGGCTTGTGGTGTGAGGGGTGTGCAAGTGAGTCAGGTGAGCGGAAGAGGATGAAGCGGAGAAATACACTGGAGTCATCTTACCAAGAACCTTCAAAGTCAGGTGGAGCCTTGACCTTGTGATATGGCAATAAGGAATCACTGTAGATTTTTGAGCCAAAGACTCCATGACCACAGGATCTTTCTGAAAGGTTGTCTGGTGATGTTCAATCCAGGCGCCCCTACATAGCTCTTTACAAATGCGAGGCAGGAAAGCCACTAAAGAGATGAGTCCAACCCTCCAGAGATGTTGAGTGTGTTACAAAATAGTTGATTTACGAGGTAAGAATTTACAAAAGGGGCCACTGAAAAGTGCCCTTAAAAATGAGCTCCTCCTAGTGCTTGTAAGCATTCTAGAAAAAATCCTTTTTTTTTTCAGTTATTTATCTGCCAGAGTGCAAAGGAGAGTTGCAACGATTTACTTTTTTATTTTCTCTTTTCTTTTGGCTTCTCTGAGCAAGATAATTCCTCTAGGCAGTGTTGGGCTTGATCTATTTGTTGTAAGTAGATGTTGCTACTTACTAAGTGCTAGTCCAGCCAACCACATGACAGAGTCATAGGAGAGTGCAGCTGGAAGGGACCTGGAAGGCCACCCATTTCAGAATCAACATTTTATTTTATTTTTAAAAATAATTTATTTGAGAGGGAGAGAGAGAGAGAGAGAGAGAGAGAGAGAGAGAGAACAGGGTGGGGAGCAGCAGAGGGAGAGGGAGGACCCTGGGATCATGACCTCAACCCAAGGCAGACGCTTAACCAGATGCTTAACCGACTGAGCCACCCAGGTACCCCTGAGCCACCCAGGTACTCCTGAAACCACCGTTTTCACATAAGCAAGTTGACAGCTTGGGCGAGAAAATGTCTAGTCTGTGGTTGAGCCAGTGGTTGAACCCCTAAGCCCTCTCTGTCTCCAGATGCTTTCTCCTCTCTAGGTCTAGTAATGGCTGATGTGGCCTAAGCATCAATGAGGGTGCAAGTCTTTATCATATTCCCTCCCTCCCTCCCTGATAAAACAAAGGTGTGCAACTTTTTGCTGCCTTGGTCAAGGGAACCGGCAGGAGAGGAGGAGGAGGGTTTTGCATTACAAGTAGTTTGCCATCTAGGAGAGGCTGCTTGGGGGGCCAAGGAGCCTCTGCTGCTTTAATGCTGATGGAGATGGATGCACCATCCCGCTTCACACCCCTCCCTTCTCAGACGGGACCCTAAATCTGCAGAGCAGCTCCCTGGCGCTGGGGGCAGGCTGTAATTTGCTAGAAGGAAACTCAGCCTGGCCAACTGCTCTGAGCTGCGTCCTGGGAATTTAAGGCTCTCCCCTCCCCCTGGAGAGATGTGCACACTGCCAGCTGCACACTCGCCCAGATGCACCCACTGCTGCAGCTGTGAACAGTTTCCACTCTCGCCAATCTTAGCTCCGTTCAAATGATCCCCGCCAGGTTCAAAAGGACAGACTGGGATGGTGAGGGGAGCAGGGCGGTCAGGACCAACACGATGTCATTGCCATGGAAGGAATCGTGGCCAGTGCACGCCCCGTGCACACAGAGACGGATACTCACACGCATGTCTTAATGTGCATGTTGAGGGGTGAGAGAGTGCCGGGGGTGGACGGCGGCACAGCATAAGGAAGTCCTTTTCCAGAAGGCTGCTCAGACATGGGTCCTTTCAAAGGGGAGGCCCTGAATTCCTGGAAGGGTTTGAGCTGAAGTTAGTGATGATGTGCCGGGATGCAGTAGAGAGAGTTCGAGACTGTGCCTGGGCTCCATCGCTTGCTATTTTATTTCCTGGCCATAAAGAAGGAGGAGCTGCCATCTTTCTCCAGTGCCTTCGTCATAAGCTTATTTGATGTGCTGAGAGGACATGGATACTCTGAGACTAATATGAATTTTTTATAGAAAAATTGATTTAGCTATTTTGTTCCTTGATGCCCCTACAAAGACTTGCTTTGGTGTCTAAGACAGTAAAAGAGGGCCCCCGGGGGTTTTCTCTAATTTGTATCTGTAGCCCTCAGACGTATGCTGCATGACCAAGAACCTCCTGGCATTCTACGTGGACAGAGTATTCAAGGACCATCAGGAGCTGAACCCCCAAATCTTGAGGAAAATCAGCAGCATTGCCAACTCTTTCCTCTACATGCACAAGGCTCTGCAACGATGCGTGAGTGGTCACATCAGGACTCTGTGTTCCCTGACAGCCCCAGGGCGAGCCCAGGACATGCTGGTTCCACTCAGGCTTTCTGAAGTGGTTCCTGGCCTCCCAGGAAATCCCCTGCCCTGTCATCCATGAGGAGAACTGTCCAGAACCTATTCCTCAGGGCTCCCTCCTGGCTGATACCTCATCAGTTCCCACTTCCTCATGGAGAATCCTCCTGGGGCAGCCTTATATCAAAGTGTTCCTTCAGGGATGTCAGGGCTGGCCTGGGAGACAGGCATGCCCAGGAGTCCAGGCTAATCATATGCATCTCTTTAGTTTCTTTGTTTGTGGTCCTTCGGGGTTTCCAAACCCATTAACTTCTGAGCTGGGTTGTTGCATCCCATGGTCTATCCCTGCGGGTTGCCTATAAATTCATTGTGCTCTATTAAAAACAAACAGCAGGAATAAAACCAAACTCAAACAACCCAACACAAACTTGGACCAGGAGAAAGCCTAGGTTCTAGCCCCATCCCTGCCAATGGGAACGCAAGTGACCTTGTGGCAAATTATCTCTCCTTTCTGTGCCTCGGATTCTAAAATTGTTAGAAGCCATGATCCCTGCCATACTTACATTAAGATTCATTTAATCAATTAATTAATTAACTAGTCCAATAAATATTTCGTGCCTACCTTGTGGGGTGCGGCCTTCACTGAGTGGTGACGAGACAGACACTTGGTCTCTCCTTTCCTGGCCCTTCCAGTCGGGTGAGCCGTAAACCCAGACATAGCAAAAGCCCTGGTCACACACAAGGTGACTTGTGACTTGCCCCTTGCGGCTCCAACCTGAGTTTGTCCACCTGACCCACGTTGGGAACAAGGGTGCCTCTCTTTGGGCGGAAGGAGTGGGCTGGGTGGAGAGGCCCTCTGACAAGCGCTTCTTCCACTTGATCACAGCAGGCGCAGAGACAGTGTCACTGCAGGGAGGCAGCCATCAACGCCACCAGAATCATCCACGACAACTACGATCAGGTAAGAGAAGGCAGGGGGAGATGTGGAAGTTGGAGATGGGGCGTGGATGACTGAGACTGGGCCAACCCTTCTGTCTGCTCATTGAATCGCCCACTCACTCCATAGTATCTATTGCCCATCTCCCCAATTCTATGTGTCCGCAAAGAGTGTGTTGGTTTTAGCCCCTTTGCTAGTCTCCTGGGCTCCCCTTCTCCATCACGCCTCCACGGTTTTCTCCTGCCCTCACGGATCAGAGCTAATCCGTTAAGTTGTGGGGGGAAAGCACATTCTTTTGGGTGGGCGTGCTACAGAGGGAGCAAGGATCCTCGGTGAACTGTAAGCTGTTGGACACCAAACATGCAGCCTGCCAGGTGTCACTGTGGTCCGCAGCTGCCACCGGCATCCTGTGGGGTGACGCAGAACCGGGCTGCTCACGTATGTGCGGCTGTAGAGCGCACATCTCATAGAGGTAGAGTAGGAGCCTGCTTCTCCCATGCGTCCTTTGGAGACTCTGCCAACAGAAAATGCAGCTTGTGGCTTGGTAGGTGTGGAAGGAGGCCTGCGATTCTGCATTTCAACCACGTTCCCAAGAGATGCCAGCGCTTTGACCAGTCGGGAGGCTAATACTAGAACAATGGCTAAGCCTTGTATCGTTCTTGCCATAAACCCGCTGTGTTTCCAAACACACTGCAAATACCGACACACGTGTTCCTCATTACGATGCTACGAACCATTATCTGCATTTGATAAATCAGGAGCCTGAGGCACAAACAGGTTAAGCAACTTAACTACTGCAACCAAGTGGTGGAGGTGGGACTCGACTCCCTGCTGTCTGGCTCCCCAGGATATACACCTGGATCTCACCCTCTCCCTCTATTCCGCTGCAAGGGGTTGGAATAAGTCAGGAGACCTGGGTTCTAGTTCCAGCTCTGCTTCCAACTGTCTGTGTGACACTGGGAGGGAGGACATTTGTCTTTAGGGCCTCGGTGCTTGCCCATGTCACATGGGGACAATGTGCTCTCCTACCCAGCATGCTCCTCAACCCACTGGAGTTGAGGCTTTCTCGGAAAGCACAAGTAAAGCCAGCTGATGGGAAAAGGAAAACAAGCAAAGGGCTTGGCCAGTAAGGCCAGTGTGTGGTTTTTTTTTTTTTTTCTTTTCATACGAAAAAAAAAAAAAAAAACCATGGAAAAGAAAACCAGAGGCAAAGAATGAAGAATTTTTAATTTTGTTTCTAAGTCGCTGACTTGATTTAACTGCTCATATGGGGAAGGCAATTTGGGTGGCCTGTTAGATAACTTGGGATGCTCTGCCAATATACTTGATGGATTAAAGGAAAAGCTCACGAGGACTGGAATACGGGGCAAGATTTGAAAATGATTTACATAGTCTAGAAAGGTGGGCTCTTACGATGATTTGCCTGGTTTCAGCTGGAGGTCCGGTCTGCTGCCATTAAGTCCCTGGGAGAGCTTGACATCTTGCTAGCCTGGATTGACAAGAATCATCAAGGAACTCTGGCTGCCTGACGGACAGCGGCCTAACACCCGAGGGAGGAACCACCCCCGAGGGAGGGAGATGGAGAAGGCCCCGTTGTGCATGCAGAGGAGGGTCTTTTGAAGAGACCTCTCTCGGGGTTAGAATCCTCTCCCCTGGGGCTGGGATACTGCGGGGAGAGATCCAGGTGTGAACAGGTCCCGGACGGGACTGCAAGGCCCACCGCTGGGCCCAGGCTGCCCGACCCCACCCGAAGGTAGCCAGACAGTCCCCTGTCGTATTTATAATAAACCGATCTGTCGACAGGTCCTGAGGGCCATCGTGGCGGGCACGGGCGGGCTTCCCCTAATTTATTGTGCACGTGTTTATGCTGTGTCTGGGCTGCGAGCGGAGCGGTGCCCTGTAGTACATATTGTACGGACCGACTTCCCTGAATAAACTCGGTTCTCTACCAGCCGGTGGAAGTGTCTTCTCATTCAGCAAGCGTCAGTCCAGGAACCGTGGTGACAAGTAGAAGTGAAAGGGGCCTTAAGGAATGCACGTAGGTAGGGAAACCGAGGCTAGTGAGGGATAAGAATCACTGAGTCCCAAAGCGAGTCAGTGCGGAGAAGGGCTGCATCCCGGGTCCCCAAAGCCTCCACCCAGCACCCTGTCCTCCACCTAATGATCAAGAAGATGGACGATGGACACAGGGCTTCTGACCTCTGGCTCCTTGACATCACTCCATTTCTTTCTGTCTCTGTTTCTGTCTGTTATTATTTTCTTTCTGCCCCCAACCTGGATACATCTCTGACCCTAAATTCATCCTCCATGAGTATATATGTTGCGCTAGAGGGAGGATGTTTCTGACAGTGGGATGATGGTTCTGGTGACAGAGCTGAGCAAGTAGGGCCCGCGGCATGGGCTAGGCTGAGTCAAGAGGTCTGGGTCCAGGCTCCACTGGAAAGAGGCCAAATGGGCACCATCTTCTAGAAGGCCCCTCCTCACATGGTTAGTGGCAATAACAACTGGCACTTACGGAGCGTCTGCCACGTGCCAGGTGCTGAGACGAGCACCTTCTATGTGCTGCCCTGGGTCAACATTTATACAGTCACTGGCTGGCTGAAGCACCCTTTCTTCACTCCTACCTGAGGAAGAGATTCCACAGAACATGCTTTAGTGGACAGGGCAGATCTCCGGTCAGACAGACCTGGCTCCAGTCCCATGGGACTTTGCACTAACTCCTCATGTCTGTCTCAGTGTCCTCTTCCGTAAAAGGAAGGCACCATCTCAAGGTGGCACCATCTCAGGGTGTTGCTGTGAGCCTTACGGGTGTTGCAGGGCCCTGTAGGAGCCCCAGCAGGGTGGGGGCTCCACGGTGTGGGATAGAGTGCCGACCAAGGGGCTGGGATGTGCTCTCAAGGCTCCTCCTGCCGTGAACTGCCTGGGGCAGGTCACTAAATTTCTTTAGGTCCTTAGCTGCCTGGAATGTGGATAATGACCCCTATACAATCTCCCGTGGGTGCTCATTTAAAAGCCAGAGTCATTAAGCTGGTCGAGAGCGCCCTACGACCTGCAGACACTGCCTCCCCAGCTCCGTGCCCTCCAACCGTGTCCCGACCACTTGCTGGGCCTCACGCCGACCCAGCCACACGGGCCTACTCTGTGTTCCCCCAACACACCAGGCATGTTCTCCTCGTAGGGCCTTTGCACTCTGTGGGCACACACATGCCAACGCAGAGGTAGGGTTAAAAAAAAAATCTAGCCTTGTGTCCTGAGGGGGTTAATGGGCCATTCAGAGAAAGCGGGAATGTTTGCCGAGGCCTCCGCCTTCGCGAGGTGACCTTGGAGGTACAGCCATCCTGAGCCAGCTGGATGAGGGCAGGACTGGCTTCATTAGAGCATTCTGATCTGTTATGCCTGCCCTGGGGCCCAGGTGACCCCAGACACCTGCACGGCCTGCACCCCCTCTTCCTGGAGGCCTTTATTAAAAGGCATCTTATGTAAGTAGAAACCCTCATTTCCACCTTTAACACAGCTTATACCCCTTCCAGGCCTCCCTAGCATCCCACATTACATTTCCCGAGTCAGATGTAAGCTCCACGAGGGCGAGGATAGTTTGGTTTCTCCACTGCCTGCCACCCACTAGGTGTTAAACTCACTGTTCTTGAATAAATCATCTGGATGAACCTAAACGATTATAATAGCAAGCATTTAAATAGTGCTTTCTACATGGTAGCTACAGTCTCTGAAATACTCATAATGTATTATAATACCAATATATACCTAGATGTATAATTTAATTCTCACAACAATCCTCTAGCAAGATTAATTGAATGAAATAAAATGAAAAAAAAAAAAACCACTGCATTGAATCCTAACAATACAGATGTTTAAACGCACGCAGGAAATTGGGACCCAGAGAGGTTAAGTGACTGACCCGAAGTCACACAGCTCACAAGCAGCAGAGCCGGGAACCTGGTTTCCAGAAAGAACTATCAGGCCAGCAGCAGCGTCCTGAGCGCTCACTCTGTGCCAGGCCCCCAGGGGGAGATTTTACATTTCCTTTCTCCTTAGTCCTCACGAAGCTCCTGTAAGGCAAAGGTTATCGACCCCCCCCCCCCGAATCCCACAGAGGAAGTGATCTGAAGCTTGGTGAGGCTCCACGCACACCTAGGCCCATGCAGCTGGCTGTGGAAGCGAGATTCACACTCGGGGTGCCCAGCCCCAGCACCCGGGCCCTCAGTCCGGCTGGAATGCTGCCCATGCGTTTTGCATGGACACCTGCACAGCCTGCACCCCCTCTGGAGGTGGAGGTGGAGGGGGGCCGGCAGGGAAGGAGCTCTCCTGGCCTCCTGAGCTCCACCTGCCTGGTTGCAGAAGCAGAAGGAGGGGAGGAGGAGGAGACGGCCCCGGGCGGGGAGGCGGGCGGTGAGAAATGTGGAAGGAGGAGATCTCACCCTCTCTTTCCTTCTTATCTCTTGTCTGCGTGTCTCGCTTTGTCCTCTTCCCGTGTGCACCTGTCTCTTCTTTCCTTCCAGACTAGAAGAACATACCCTGCCTCTTTTGCAGCCCGTTGGGGCGGGGGTGGGGGTGGTGGCCTGGTACAGGGTGACGGTTTTGTTTCTGGCGTTGTGTCGTTGTTTGGTCTCCCGCCGTCACGGAGCTGGTGCTTAATAAATGCCTGCTGAGCATCCAAGTCTAGAATTCTCCCCCGGAGCATCCCTTCTGGGGCCTCTACGGGCGCGCAGGCACCCTTGCACCTTGCACTAGGGCTCGCCTTCCACCACGTAGGTGCAAAGGGAGGGACCGCACGGCCTGTGCAGGACCATGGCAGGCACCTTACACGTATGCTCCGCTCGGGTCCCAGAGGAGCCCAGGAGATCAGGGTCTCACCCGCAAGTGAGCAGGGAAAGCAGCTGGGGCCCAGGGCGGTGGGAGACTTGCCTCAAATCGCAGGGCTGAGAGATGGGAGATGCAGATGTAGACGGTAGAGCCCCATCTTCTGGCTCCTGCGCTCTCTCCCCTTGCTGCAGGGCGGGGGGCGGGGGGTGCACTTTATTTTGGCCAAGACTGTATCATCCAGGGCCTGGATTACTACGCTGGACGCAAGCAACGCAGATCATCAAAACCAGATGCACGACAAAGGGCCTGGACTTACTAGCAACAATCTTGTAAAGCTACACGCTCATCAAGGGGCCAACACAAGGCGAAGAAGCAGAGGCCAGCTCCTGATGTGTCACATGAGTCCTCTGACCCCTGGAGGACACTCTCTCCTCCTTGCATCTCAGAGCAAATCGCTGACAGCCATGCCTGCTTAAGGCAACTGTCTCTCAGAACTGTGATCTTGCCCAAAAGATCGGCCAAGAGGATAAGAGGACAGGCTTTGGTGTGAAACCCAGCTCCTGCCCTTGCCATAGGACCTTGGGCCATGTGAGCCTCAGTTTCCTCCTTGGTACAAATGCAGGAGAGAGCTGCCTCACGGAATCGCTGTGAGGACTCGGAACATCATCCATAGTATGGATCATTTGAAATGACGCTTGCTACTAACGATTCTCAACTTTTCTGATCTTATTTCCCATAAAACACTGTTGTGTTTTTTAAACTAGCAAGTGAGACAAGACAAAAGGCACTGGCCTGGTCTGCACTGCAGGAGGCTGTCAGCTGAGCCCCCCAAAGGGAACTCGCAGTTTCTGTGCCCCCAGCCAGGCTCCACCTGTCTTCCTGAATCTCTCTGCTGCTCAGACACCCTCTTGCACTTGTCCTCCCTCAACCACCGACCCATCCCAGTGCGGGACCCCTCCCTGGGTCTGTCCTGACCTTGCCTCAATCATGCCCGGCACAACCCCTCGCACAGACAAATCACAGGCTACCTCCCAGGCAGCAGAGAACGAATGCTTGATCGGGGAGGGGGAAACAAACTCCTTCCTGGAGGTGGCTTCACGGACCAGCATATCGAATTTGGCCCAGGGATTTGGGGGAGGATAAAATCTTAAAAAGTTGTTATGAATGAGCTCTAGAGCATTCTAGAAATAGTCTCTCCTTTCAGTTTTGTTTCTGAGAGCCACTTGCTTAGCCCAGTCTCAGACCTCGGCCATGGAGCCACACTCAGCAGGTCAGAGTGTCCTATAAGAAGCCTCCTCCATGCAGGCACAAGGCTTGGTCAGGTACCGGGCCCCAAGAGGGTTCAGAATCCAGCTTGTACGAGGAGGGACGTTTGCCCCAGCATGCCTCTAGTCTGAATGCCTCCATCCCGTCACTTTCCTAGACATGAAGAAGATTCTGTGCCTCAGTTTCCTTATTTGGAAAATGAAAAGAATAGTCCTACCTACCTCATGGGTTGCCTGAGGGTAAAATGAGCTCATATTTTATGAAGTGTTCAGTGCCTGGCATTCAGTAAGTGCTACAAGCAACAGAAGAGCCTCCGGTCACGCTCTGTTGCTGACCCGTCTGCCCCAACCCAGGCTGAACTTCCCAAGAACCCTAGCTCCACCCCTGGGACAGAAAACAATCTTCCTCTTGCTCCTTCGTCTCCACCCCTACCCCATCCCCATCTGTGGGCCCTGGGACCCACAGCGGTTTTCCAGGTTTGGACAAGTGCAAGATCCACTAGTGTCCATCTCTTTTTTTCCAGACTTGCTGGTATGGGGGCAGCTACACCGTGAGTGGCCGCACTCAGGATATAAATAGGCCTTGAATAAATTAGTGTGTGCATGATGCAAAGCCAATCCCAGCTGTCGAGGTGGCTCTCTCGGAGGAAACCTTGGCTTTGCTTTTTGGATGCATCTGCTTGGTATCCCTGTTTCTAGCCTGGAGCAAGGAGTCAGTTTTCCCCTCTGCTTGACCCCTCTGGCTTTGGTTTTGATTTTGCCCCTGATTGTTGTCTTATGGTCTTTAACTCCACATCCTGAAGCCTGAAGGT